TAGGACTTCTTTAGTTTAGCTGCGAATGGCTTCATATTTTGGTGTCTATGAAGGTGATGGACGAGAGCCTGCTCCTGCTTATCGAAGGAACATCTTGGGTATCTTCAGCTCTGGTACTCGTATCAACCTCTTCTCTCTGAGCTGCGTATTTTTTACTGATATGTGTCTTGTTCAAAGCGTCTCTTTTCTTGTCCTCCTCCCCCCCCCCCATATATTCAGTACCGAAGGTGAGATCTGAAGCTGTGAACGAAAAACTACCATCATATCAAATTACTTCACGCATCCCTCAAAATTCATTCTCTTCACTGGAAAGCCTCCGTGGTCTCTCTAGCTCTTACGAGTGCATGAGCTTTCTTAAAGTGCATCACGAGGTGAGAAATAGCCTAACTGTTTTCGTTACAATCTCTTCTGTCACTTTTCTTGTAATGACACATTCATCATAGCAGCTTTCCAGCACTCGAAAGAACAGTCGCGCCTCAGAAAAAAAAGAGTGGAACACTAGAAGTGCAAAGCACAAAACCTGAAATACAATCTATTCCTTGAGAAAAAGTCGAGTCGGATTTCCTAAGTATGTTTCGCAGGCAAAAAGTATGTGAAGAGATGAGGTTATCTTTTCGTCCATACGAGCGTTCCCACGGCAGGACAGATTTGTTTCGCGGTTCCGCTTGGTTATCTATTATATTGCTCCGCAAGGGACTCCTAATAAAGGATAACTAATACAGATCGGTCTCAATCCGGTACAAATACACTCTTGTTTGCTGCGGACGCCGGTGCTTGTCAGAAGAACAGGGGTGAGGGTCGAGCTGAGCTAAAGCCGGCCTGTTCTCCATCACTTGTGGACGCTGAGAGGGGACCACAGCTGGTGTAGCACTGAGTGTCGCCGTCTCGAACCCAACCGTCTCCTCCCTCGAATACGCCCCAACGTCCACAGTGAACAAGGCTGCATTTATTTCCGCATATATGCGATGCAAATAAATAGAATCAGTGCCAATAATCTTGGAGC